GGGGTCTGCTGTGGGATTTTTTATTTTGGTAGTAGTGTTGGAGATGGAACCCAGGGCTTCTACACGCTAGGCAAGCACTCACCACTGCACTATGCCCCATCCTTTAAAAAAAAATTATTTTGAGAGTCACTAAGCTGCCCAGATTGGGATCAAACTTGCGATCCTCCTGCCTCAGCCTCCTAAGTTGCTGGGATTACAGGTATGCACCACTGACTCTGAATTGAACAGGAGCACCGGGAAACTGTGACAGTCAGTCTGACAGCTACTAAGTGACTGATGGGTTGGCAGCATTTCTTGAACACAAAGGTAATTACTGGACAAAACACTGTAACCAAATGTATAAACATTTTATGTAGACCAGCCTCCCTCCTCAGAGGTCAGAGTTATCACTTAGATTTTATTATTATCATTGTTATTAGTCCAGTACTGTGGCTGGAACCCAGGGACCTTCCACCACTGAGCTACACCCTCAGCCCTTTTTATTGTTTTACTTTGAGGCAGAGTCTCACTAAGTTGCCCAAGTTGGCCTTGAAAGTTTGGTCCTCCTGCCTCCGCCTCCCAAGTAGCTTGATGCCAAGTGTGCGCCACCATGCCCAGCTTGAAGATTTTATTACAAAAAATTGAACTTTTAGTTGGGTGTGGTGGTACACAGCTGTAATCCCAGTACCCAAGAGGCTGAGGCAGGAGGATCGCTGTGGGTTTGAGGCCAGCTGGAGATACATAAGTTAGTTCAAGGCCAGCCTGAACTGCATACATAGTGAGGCTCTGCCTCAAAGAAAATTTTTTTGAACTTTTGACACTGTGGTAGGAGACAAGGCTCTGGCTCCCAAATGCCTTTGGGGAGGGGGTTGGTGGGTCCTGGGTGGGTTCCAGGTGGCTGGAAAGGTCAGGACAAAGCCAAGGAGGTGGGATTGAGGCCCTTCCGCCCTCTAGGCCTTTAAAAGAGCTTGGTACCAGCCAGACATAGTGCACATGCCTGTCATCCCAGCACTGTGGGAAGCTGAGGCAGGAAGATCTCAAGTTCAAGTCAGCCTGAGCAACTCAGCAAGGCCCTGTACCAAAGTAAACATTGTAAGGGGCTGGGGATTTAGCTCACCGGCAAAGCGCCTGCCTGGCAAGCGCAAGGTCGTGAGTTCGGTTCCCGGTACCGGAGAAAAACCAAAAACCAAAAAAAAAAACCAAAGTAAACATTGGAAGAAAAGCTGGGGGTGCATCTCAGTGCAAAAGCCCTGGACTCAACTCCTAGCACTCTAAAAAAAAAAGCAAAACAGAGTGAAGCAAAACAGAAACCATCTTGGGCTGCCTGTGACAAACCCAGGTGTGTGCGGCTCCCTAAGTAGCGTATGTAGGGCTGGGGAGATAGCTCAGTGGCACAAGTGCCTGCCTGGCAAGCACAAGGTCCTGGGTTCAATCCCCAGTACCAAAACAACAACAACAACAACAAAAAGCAAACAAACAAATAAACAATAAATAGCATCTCTGCAGCCCTGAGAGTGCGCTGGGGCTGAGGGCCGCACGGCTTTCGTCTGGTGCCGCCGCCCGGCCGGCAGGACGGGGCTTGGGCAGCGCGCTGTGCCCCGGCGAGGCCCAGGGCCGAAGGACAAGTGCACAGGCAGGGCAAGGAACAGGGAGCGTTTATTGTGTGGGAACGGGGTCGGGTGACAAGGATTCCACACGGCATTAAACACTGCGAGGGAGCGGGCATAGGACAGGTAGTTTTAAAATTCAGGAAGAAACACCAAGGCGTCCAGAGGCAGGAGGGGTGGGTGTCGGCGCCGGAAACAGGGACGCTGGCTGGACGGCACTGGCAGCGGTGACCGCGGACGGAGCAGCCCGCGCTGACCGCGCCCTCCGCGTATGGCTTCTGTGTAGGGTCCGGCCGCAGCCTGGCTCGCCTTGGCAGGTCCTCGAGGACAGGGACGGTCAGGCGGCTTCAGGCCGGGCGTGAGCAGGGGTCTCACGGCCTCCTCCCGCCCCTGCTCCTCCAAACTTCCTCTGTGCTCCGGCAGGCCCGGACTCTTGGCAACAGGATGGCCCCCAGCCCTGCGACGCCACACGGACACGGCAGGGACGGCCCTCCCACGCTCTCTGCAGGCCACAGGTCACAGTGGGGCCACCTCGTTCTTGGCCTGGGTGTGGGGGGACCACCTTCGGGGACCTTGGGGTCAGGGGTGTGTGCTCTCGTTTCTTCCCAGTATAAGGGAGGGAAAGGGACAGGGCTGGCCAGCCTTGGCTCACATGGGGGCAGGACAGGGGCTTGGCAAGGCATGGTGGCCCCTCTGCCTGTACCCTCGCTTGGAGGCAGTTCCCGGAAACACTGGACCAGGCTGCAGGGATGAGGGACAAGCCGGGAGTGACGGCACGTACCTCGCATCTCAGCACTTGGGGAGGCTGAGGCAGGAGGGTCAAGCCCATCTTGGGCAATTTAGTGACTTCGTGAGACCTTGTCTCAAAATAAAAAATAAAACAAGGGCTGAGGATGGATCTCGGTGTGAAGGCCCTGGGTTCCATCCCTGTCTCACACAGATAAAAAAAATTTAAAAGTGGGGAACAATCCCTTTGTGTTCTGTGATGGGTGGACGCTGGGTTTATTGTGAAACGGAAGTGAAGAAAAAGGAGTTTTTCCTTCTTCTAAGCTTAGAAAGAAACTCCTGGGCTTCTGCCCTTTGACACCTCCCTGAGCCCCAAGGCTGCGGTCATCTAGTCGCCAGGCTCAGGGGCAGTGTGGTGGCACCCGCAGGGGAGCTGGGGCCACGCAGGGAGGACAGCCGAGGCTTGGCTTGCGGGAGATGCCGGCCTGTCCCTCCCCTCCCGGGGTGTTTGGCCAGCACACAGACCCTGGATTCCCGAGTCCTGCGAGGGTCCCCTTCGGGGCTCATGGAGCTGAGCCGCCCTCACCTGGCTGAGCCTGGAGCAGCTTCCCGGGGGGCCCTGGTGGGGACACCGGGCTGGGGGCTGGGCTTAGCACATCTGTGTCTCCTCCTCCCCGCTCTGTCCTGGCCCTGGGGGGCCGTGGGCGCGGGGAGCGGGGAGAGCCGGGTGGGTGTGACACCCACGCAAAGGATTAAGGCTTCTTTGAAAGAGGAACAGGGCCGAGATGGTCCCTAGGAAAGTGACATTGGGCTGGGGTCTTTCTCCCTGGGGCCCGAGCAGCAGCCGCCTATAGGCTCCCGGCACCCTCCCCGCTGGGCTCTGGGGTCTCTTCCCCAGTTCCGCTAGGGACAGGGAGAGGCCGTGCTCGGCTTGGCGTGGCTTCGCCTGCTCCCAGGCCCACGTGGTTTGGGGGAGATTTCGCACCTCGAGCTCCGCAAAGCCCCTGGCCCTCCCGGACCAGCCGTAGAGAGCGTGCCAGGGAGAGGCCTGCGCCCTGCAGCCTGGCCCTCCGGAGCCCCCGAGGAGGGCCTGGGGCAGCCTTGGCGCTGCACTGGCTCTGACCTGTGTCCTGCCCGAGGGTCCCGGCCACTGGGGACATGGTGCCTGCTGCCCTCGGAGCGCCGGGACCCACCGAGGCTGCCGGCCTCACCTCCCCGCAGCGTGGGTGACCTGGGCAGCCGTCCAGGGACCGTCCTGGCTGGGCCCAGGATTCCGAGGTCCACTGGGGCCACAGGGGCAGAGCCGGGCCAGTGTCTTCTCCACTGTTGGCTGCCGGGTCCAGTCCTGGGGCTCCAGGGCCCAGGGCAGTGTGGGGTCTGGGCTGCATCCCAGGTGTGGCGGCAGGTGACGCTGGCTCTGCACACAGCCTCTCTGCTGCCATCGGTTTCTGTCCTGGTCATGATACAGCCCCCGGCCCCACCCGGTGACATCTCACTCTGCCAGGCTGCTGGGAGCAGGGAGGGGCAGCCCCTCAGCCGAGCAGCCCTCCCGCCTGTCCTCGCGGGGAAGGGCCGCGTCCTAGGGGGTCAGAAAGTGAAACAGCCGAGGGTGGTGGGCACGGCGGCAAGCACCGCCGCTACTGCCGTGTCTGGGACCAAGGACCTCGTCTCAGAAGGCCCTTCACAGCCACTTCAAGATAAGTCAGCAACTTTTGGCCAGGCATGGGGGAGCACACCTGTCATCCCAGCACTGCGGGAGGCTGAGACAGGAGGGTTTCGAGCTGGAGCCCAGCCTGGGCAACTTAAAATCCTGTCTCAAAAGATAAAAAAGGGTGAGGATGGAGCTCATTGCGGAAACCCTGGGCTCCATCCCCAGTGCTCCCCACAAAAGGAAAGCGAGCAAGCAAGCAAGCGAGCTGCAGTGACGGGCAGTAGGAGCGAGGTAGGGCTGCTGCCTTCCGCCCGGACCTCACAGCGCCCGTGCCCCTTCCAGCCCCACTCTGGGCAAGTCCTGAAAATCCGTTTGTGACGTGGCGGGAGGGGTGGTGGCTGTGGAGTGACCAGCGCCGCTGAGAGGGTGACATTTCACAGGCAGATCCCAACCCACCCCGGAAGCCCATGTCTGTGCTACCCCGCCAGGTTTTTAGTGGGGAACAGCAACAATGTTTTAAATGGAAAGGAGACAGTTTTTCCTCCCCTTGAAAGAAGTTCGTGATGTCCACCCTGCACCCCCAACCTGACCTCTGCTTACAAAATAAAAAGCCTCCCGCTGGCCCGTGCGGATGTGTCACAGGCGGCCGGGTGGGAGGGAGCTGGCCCCCGGCCGGCAGCGGAGGCCCTCCCGTCCCCCATCCCTGCTCTGCTCGCGGCCGCCATCCTATCGGCCATGGAGTTTCACAAAACGGCCACCACGACGCTCGGCGGTCCGGTTGTCCGGATGGGAGGAGGGCTGGAAGCCGCCGTCCCTGTCTTGGGGAGCCCCTCAGGGGGGCCGCCAGGCTGGGTGGGAAAACCCAGCCTCACTAGGAGCACAGGTTTTACCTCCGCGGGGCGAGTGGGGACCACAGGCATTTCTTTAGGGATCCAAAGTTTAGGGACCGAGATGTTTTGGTTGCAGTAAGGTTTGGATGATCCCTTGGGGGGCAGAGATCAAGACAGAGACAGAGAGAGGGACACAGAGAGAGGGCAGGGAGAGAAGAGCTACAGAATAATACACGGCTTCTTGTCCTTAAAGGGGTTCTCCGAGGCAGGGACTCCGACCAGCAAGGGGTCGCTCCGCGCATGCTGTTCGCAGTAACTCATGAGCTCCGACGAGGCTTTGGATACCTGTGAGTGGCACAGGGAGAGAGGGGAGGTGAGAGCGCTGCGGGCCCTATGCTCGCGGCAGCAGAGCACCATAGCCAATGGGCGGGGACAGCGTGAGTCTCCAAGGACGGACAGATGGGCACACACAGTGAGGTCCGCAGGCACGCTGGAATATTACATGGCCGGGAAAAGGAGCGAGGCTGTGACCCTGGACACAGTATGGATGGATCCTGAGGATGCCGTGCTCAGTGAGAGACCCCAGACACAGAAGATGCACAGCCTGGGCTCCACGGACAGGAAACGCCCAGGACAGGCAAAGTCAGGGACAGGAAGTGGACTGATGGGTCTCAGGACTGAGGAGGGTGACTGCTCATAGCGACAGGGCTGGTTTTGGGGGTGCTGGGTTGCTCTGGAACTAGATGGAGGCGGTGGTAACAACACCGAGAATTCACTAAGCATCACTAGTGCGGGCTTGGATGGGGTTCTGAACAACTAAGTTCAGAGGAAGCTGGGTGCAAGTCTGCAGGCTTGTCGTCCTGGGCCTCTGAGAGGCTGAGGCAGGAGGATTCCAAGTATGAACCCAGCCTGGGCAACTTAGCAAGACCCTGTCTCAAAATAAAAAATAAAAAGAACTGGGGGGGCTGGGGATTTAGCTCAGCGGCAAAAGCGCCTGCCTGGCAAGCGCAAGGTCGTGAGTTCGGTTCCCGGTACCGGAGAAAAACCCAAAACAAAACAAAACAAACAAAAAAAAATAAATAAAAAGAACTGGGGATGTCAGGGAGATAGCTCAGTGGCACAGTATCTGCCTGGCAAGCACAAGGTCCTGAGTTCGATTCCCAGTTTAAAAAAAAAAAAAAGAGCTGGGATATCACTTAGTGCAGAGGCCCTGGGTTCCATCCCCAGGACTGAAAAAAAAAGTTCCATGTGGCCCAGGAAGGGACTCTGGGCTGTCCGTCCTCTCCTGCCTGGCCGCCCACTTGGCGCCAGCTAGGGAAGCTCAGCTCTAACACCCAGCCTGGTCCCCAGGGCCGCCAGCGGGGGCAAGGCAAGGGTTTTTGAATGGCAACTCTGTCACCGCCGAGCCCACTGCAGGCTTGGGGACCCCACTGAGGGCCCCCAGCAATCACCTCTCCTGCAGCGTGTCCCCGGCCCCGCCACTCACCCCGTCTCTCCTGGCCACGCATTCGGGATGCTGCTAGCTCAGCCTCTGTGCCCAGCCCAGCAGGCCTGGCACGCCGGGCCTCGGGTGTCACCGGCCTGGCACCTGGGGACGCCCACCTGGCCTGGATCTCAGCCTGGACCGAGTGACGTTTTGCAGCCTCTGGTTTGTGGAAATGACATCAGGCACCTGGTGTCCACCCTCAACCACCCCACGGCCCCAAGGACACTGGGACCTCATCCTGGACACCGTCCCCCCTTGTGGTTGGAGCGCGCACCGTCTAAGCGCTGGGGACGCTGCTGTCCCCAGGCAGCGGCAAGTGCCCCTCTCCAGACCATGCCAGGCCTTGGCTGGAGACTGCCACCCCTCACCCAAGCTGGGACAGTGTCTACACCTGGAAATCGTGGGGTGGCTCTGCCCCCTGGACCCCAGATTCACAGCCAGCTTCTCCCCCCATGGCCCGGACACTAAGGTGGGGCCGTAAAACTCAGAGGGGACCTGGAGGGGAAAGAGGCTGTGTCCCGACGTCCCAGGTACCCGGCTGTCACCAGCTGTCACTGGGATGGCAGAGGGCAGGGGTGGGGCCCTGCCGACATCAAGTGGGGGGTGGGGCCGAGGGCTGGCTCAGCTCACAGAGGAGACCACTTCAAAGGGGCTTCTCCCAGGAATTCCAGGAACGGGAGGCCCCCATGGGGTGAGTCTGTCTGTCCCTCTCTGGGGATACAGCCGTGAGGCTAGGGGACGACCTCAGCTACCCTTTCCTTAAATTCCCAGGTCTGAGGGATTGCATGGGGACCAACAACCTTATAGGTCCCTTGACCCAGATCAAAGGGCTCTGCACTTTTTTTCAAAAAAAATTTATTCTAGTTGTTGCTAGAAAAGTATTTTTAGATTTTTTTTTGAGACCAGATTTCACTATGACGCCCAGGCTGACCTCAAGTGTGTGATCCTCCTGCCTCAGCTTCCTGAGGGTTGGGATGACAAGCAGGCCCCCACTGCACCCAGCTCTGGTATTTTTTAGATGTGGTGAGCATTAAGTCAAGAAAAGGGGGTTGATCCTCTGTGCTGTGAGTGGGCCTCGTCTAATCAGGTGAAGGTGCTAAGTGCAAGCAAAGGCCCCTCCAAGTGGCCTTGGATTTGGGAGGAAACCTCAGCTCTGCGCCAGGCTCCAGCCTGCCACCTGCTCTGCACCTTTGAGCCCACATGGGCCGACCTGTTAGAGTGAACCAGTGTCCCTCTCTGTGCCCCGTGTCCCTCACAGACACAGGACACACTCTGAGAGCTGTGCAGATGGCACAGAGCAGCCAAGCCGAGCCCAGGCACAGCTGCGCAGGCCGTGAGCGTAGGCAGGCACACCCCTCTCTGTCTGTCTGCTCCGTTCCTGACCAGCACGCAGTGTCCCTGAGGGCAGGACCACGCAGACTTCTCCCTGGAGCCAGCCTGTGCCCTCTGCTGCAGGCTGCGTGTGTCGGGGCGGGGTGTGGCCCGTGGGAAGTGCCTGCTGTCCTCATTCACGTGGGTCAGGTCGGCAGGTAGGCGTCTTGCAAACCGTGAACCCCTTTCCGGTAGAGGCCACAGTGTCCTGGGGGTGCTGAGGCATTTGAGAGGGGATGTGTGTGAGGCCTGGGTGTCACTCAGTGGTTCCTGTGGGGACCTCATATTCACCAAGTAAACACAGCAAGGTACACACACACACACACACACACACACACACACACCGGAATATTACTCAGCCAGGAAAAGGAGCGGCACTGTGACACTTGCTACAGCATGGATGGAGCTTGAGGACGCCGT